AGAAACCCTATACCCCTACAACTGGGAACGGTATCGCAGTGTAAAAGCACGAACAAGGATATGAATGAACATCTGAATGAATATACGAAGTGAGGACACGTCATAGTAAAATTTATAAGGGCCCCTTCGTTCTATTTGCATTGTAAATAGGCCCTTTCACATAATCCTTTGCGTCACTTCTTTCTTCTAATAATTCCCGGGCGCTAACTTCTTTCTTTTAATATGCGCCCGTGATATAATATTAACAGACGAAGAGAAAGAGCGAACTGATTTGTAATGGAGAAAACGAAGTGAAAGAAAGCACGAAATTAGTAAGCGATTGAACGAAACAAGGAAATACGCGGGCACACAATGAGTCTTTTAAAAAGCCCGCGGGAACAGGAATAATAATATGATGAAGAGAGTAAATGAGTTAGTTTATAAGCGAGCGAAGCGAGCGCAATAAACGTAACGAATGTACGAACGAAATACACGCGCATACCAAAAGCCCTTTAACGTCGCGTGATATAATATTATTACTGTCATTCCGGCGCTCACCATATTCTTTTCATGCGCCGGTGTAATGATTTGAATAAAGTGAAGAGAACATTAAAGGGCGCATTAATAATATTATCAGGACACGCATGAATATTATTAATGGGGCCTTTAAGTGAACGAAACAAGAACTGTTTTGCCGTGCGTTAATATAATGTGTACACGTGTGAACTAAGTTATAGTACAAACGCGCCCGCAAAATTAGCCCTTTAATTATTGCATTCACGGGCCCCTTTTGACCATAGAATTAATACTGGCCCGTGCGCTACATTCACCACCTTTGTCTTGCTCACGCGGTTCTTTCTTATTGTTACAGTGAGCTTGCGAACCGCGTAAACGAAGAACGAAATCAAATTATAAATGAACGAAAGGAGTGCATGAATTTAATGAGTGATTGAGTGAGCGCCCCAACATCAGGTTCTCCAGCTATAACAGTGTCACGCCTTAAAATCATGAGCCAGGAAACTAGACCATTGAGCCCCCACATTCACCCTTAGATTTAGTACTGTGTTCCCATCCTATTCTCGGGGTCTTATTGCGTGCGGAGTTATAATATTATAACATGCAAGGAACATAATGACCGCGCGATATTAATATTATAACGTACAGCATTATGAGCGCAAAATGAGGACTGCGCTCATTATATTATATTACAAGCGAGCTCAATTAGCGAGCAAAAGAAGAGACTTAAATGACAAGGGAGTGAATGAGTTTATGAATGAACAACCGCGTGCATTTAATGAACGAAGTGTGAAGAGAACAATGTGAAGAAAATGTTATTACAAGCGCAATGAAGATATGAATAAGCGCGTGAGTAGTATTAACTGAACGTGTGAACGAAACCAGCTATTACTTTCATAATCTTGTTTGCGCTTGTAATTTAATTGTAATGAAACGCAGTGAAAGCACGAATTAAACGAGGAAAGCGCACACAATAGTATTAAAATGAATGCGTGCTCACTTCGTTCACACCTTTATTCATACTGTTCTCTTCACGGGCGTCACATGATTTCGTTAATGTGCGCCCTGGTACCATGTGAGTCCATTTCTGAACCCCCATCCATGCTACATTCCAGAACCACCCATTCAATGTCTAATTGCATCTATTCCTAAAAACCCCAAAAAATGGTCATACCAAAAAAAATTGGTAATACCAGAAATTTCTGGTTTCCAGGATTCGGAGTATGAAAAGGAGTACGTTGGAGGGATCAGGTAGGGCTTAGGGCTTCGGGCTTAGGGCTTAGGGCTTAGGGTTTAGGGTTTAGGGGTTAAGTTAAACAATTGAGCCCTGACCACAGACTTAGGGTGTGTAGCTATACACCAGCCAGCACTGCCCGAGCAGCCCGTGTGCTGGCGGTAGCACGGCCGTGACGTTGCAGTGTGACGGTTTTCTTTCCGTGGCGTACGATGATCAAAACAGCTACGGCGGGGAAGGGGTGTGGCCGGAGGGGTGGGGTTCTGATGGTTTACACTAATTAGTGGTTAGTCGGGGTTTTTTATTCGGGTTTAGTTCGTTTACTTGGGGGCTTGACAGTCGGCCATGGAGCAATGCCACACGGGCGGATGCGAATTTATTCGCATAACTCAAATTCCCCCAAAACACTCCATTGAACCCTAAGCCGAAAAAAGTTCCCTCCCTAAAGCCTTACACCCTGAACTCGCAGGCTGCAAAACCCCAAGGCCCCAAGCCCTGTACTTAGGGATACTTGGAAATAATGTTTAACCCACGCTCTAAACCCGAAACCCTAAACCCTAAACCCCAAATCCTAAACACTAAATCCTGAACCCTAGAAACCTCAAGCTCAACCCCTCCCTTGGGCTTCGGCTTCGGAAGGACTCGCCCTGCTACCGGCCACCCGGGGCGGAGCTGCGTCCAGCGGCAGCAAGGGTCCCAGAACCGGCCCTTTCCCAGGGGGGTTTAGGGTTTAGGGTTTCAGTGTAGGTTTTAGGGTGGTTTAGGGTTTAGGGTTTAGGGTTTATGTGGGGCACTCAGGGAGAAAGGTTTTGGGCTACTTAGGGTTAGTCCAGGGATTCACTCGTCTCTTACGCTCCGGCAAGCTTTGTCATAGGCATTGTGAGCTTCATTGAGTTGGCACAGCTATTTGCGTAGACCAGGAACCTTTTAGAGGTCTTCGCCCCCTAAATCCTAAAGCTTTGTACCCAAAGCCCGGCTAGGCCAAACCCCAAACCCCAAACCCGAAACCACAAACCCCAGAAGCGAAACCCCAAACCCTAAACCCTGAACCCCAAACCCTAAACCCCCAAACCTTTACAAGCAACCCTTGCACTCTTGTATGAAGGTCCTTCGAAACCGCATCTTCTTCCCCGCCAGCGACGACGAGCCTGGAGCCCGGGGCGCAAGGCATCGACCAGACCGTGGGTTCTACTAAGTCCAGTCAGGGTTTAGGGTTTAGGGTTTAGGGTTTAGGGTTTAGGGTTTAGGGTTTAGGGTTTAGGGTTTAGGGTTTAGGGTTTAGGGTTTAGGGTTTAGGGTTTAGGGTTTAGGGTTTAGGGTTTAGGGTTTAGGGTTTAGGTTTCGGGTTTCGGGTTTCGGGTTTTGGGTTTGGTTTTTTTGGGTTAAGGGTTTGGGATTTGTAGGGTCCGGGGTGTATAGGGTTGAGGGTTTAGGGCGTATAGGGTTTGGGGATTGGGGACTAGGGTTTAGGGTTTACGGGACTTGATGATGAAAGACTGAGAGAGGTATGAGTTAGCAAGCTACCTAAACTGCAATCCCTAAATGAGAGTTGCAGGAGTAAGTAGACCTCAGCATCCCAAGCCACTCAGATATGGGGGTTTCCGAAAAGGTTATTTTAGGGTTTAGGGTTCAGGGTTTAGGGTTTAGGTTTAGGGTTTAGGGTTTAGGGATACCTCCGAAGAGTTTTGGGGGTTTCCGAAAATAGGGGTGCCTTACCGGGGTCCTTATTATAAGGGGATCCTACTATTTGGGGATCTGTATCGGGGGTCCCCTGTTTTCATAAACCCCCATATGCCTTGCCTAAGATGTTTCAAACCCTAAACGCCTTGCCGCCTAAAGATGTGCCGACCCAGATGCCCAAACACTGGGATTTACAGAGTTTTGGGGTTCGGGTGTGGGTTCCTGAACCCTAAGCCCTAAGCCCTAAACCCTAAACCCTAAACCCTAAACCCTAAACCCTAAACCCTAAACCCTAAACCCTAAACCCTAAACCCTAAACCCTAAACCCCAAGTCCTAAGCAGGGTCCGGGGATTTGAGCAGCCGAGCCTCGGCTCGCAAGACCGAGGCTGTCGAAGTTCCTTGAGAGCCCCGCAGACTACTTGGGCGAGCCAGGCCGGAATGTGGCTGGAACCCCACTTGGGTTTAGGGTTTAGGGTTTAGGGTTTAGGGTTTAGGGTTTAGGGCTTAGGATTTAGGATATTGGGGGGGGGGGGGGTACCTTATTGGGGTCCTCATTCTAAGGGGATCCTATTATGTGGGGTCTATGTTGGGGGTCCCCTGTTGTCGTAAACCCCCCACTTGATGAAGTTGGGGCTGCACACCTTATGGGGTTCTTAAGGGAGCTCCCCTAAGCTGCCCCTACTAAGGGGTTTAGGGTTTAGGGTTAAGGTTCCCTGGGTACCTACCCCCATGAACTCCCCTCCCAAAGGTAGAACCCCTTAAAATAGTGCCCTCCACTACTCTGCGTTCATTGTTAGGAACCCTTTTTGGAGCCTCCCAGGCGTCTGGGATCTTGATGAACTTGGGGCTGAACTCTATAGGGTTCTTCCCTACCCGCCATGAACTCACTCCCTGAACGACCCTATGAAAACCGGAAGCCCTCACCCCTAAACCGCAGTCTCCACCAAGAGTACCTTTTCAAGCCGAAAGCTATGAACCTCACGAAAACCCTAGTTCAACACTGTTTTTGCGCCTTTCTTTTCCAAGGCCCTAGAGGAGGCCTTAGAAGAAGCTCCGGCGGTGTTGAACCTCACGTTTTCAGGGCTTGGCCGGTTTCGGGTTCAGGGTTTAGGGTTGAGGGGTGCCTCATCACGGAAGCCTAAAGCCCGAAACCTGTGTGGTCCCAAACCCTGCGGACTTTAATCCTTAAAACTTTCCCGGGCTTTTCCTTTCTTGAAAGCCCCTTGTGCAACTTCATGATCTTCGCAGCCGTTTCCCTTGGGGGGGCTCGCAGGTGCCTCGGAGTAGGTCCAGGTCCGCGTAGGTTTAGGGTTTAGGGTTTAGGGTTTAGGATTTAGGGTTCAGGGTTTAGGGTTTAGGGTTTAGGATCATGTGGGGGTTGTAACTTACGCTCCCGAGGTTCGGTTTTTTTGGAGACCCCGACCCTCAGTGAAAGCAGCTTGGGATGTTCCCCCTTATACAAACAGTCCTTAATAGGGATTACAGTGCCCCCCTTTTATACTCCCTACTAAGGACTGCAAAAAACAGCCCTTACGTGCCTTCGGGGATCTTACTCGTTTGGGAAGCAGCGCGCTGCCTTGTGTGCCCGCCATGCCTCTGCCTACCTACGGCCCCGCCGGCGGCCTGTCTTTCGCCTCGCGCTCCTTGGCTGCTTCGTCAGCTTCCAGTCGTCAGTGTTGACTCGGAGGCTCGAATATTGGGGTATATTTCCCAAAATGGGGGTTACCACTTTTAGACCGCAAATAAAATAGAATCCCCTTTAAGGGACGCCCCAAGAAGGGTACCCCTATTTTCGTAAACGTATGGGGTAGTTCGAGCTTGTTCCTTGGGAGCCTATAGATTTTCTTCCGAACCCCGCGCACTTTCAAACCCGAAGCCGTAAGCCCCAACTCCCCCCACCTCCCTGCCCTGGCTGGTATGTAATAAGAAAAGAGACAATGAGGTACCCCATCTACTCCCGCCCTTAAAGGCTCTGTATGTATGTTTTGGAGTGGCAGGGAACGGAGCATACGTGATTCTTTGGCATGCATCTCTTCCCGAAATCAGCTCAAGCCTCTGCTCCAATTCTTCTCCCGCCCATCCCTCCCACAGACTGCTCGTGTGTCTTGACACACGAAGCGTGAATTCTTTTGACCTTCTTTGCCAGGGTTCTCTCGAATTGTCACCTTCAGACTGCTCAGAACTATTCCCGACCCTAATTCCCTCATTCCCTACGAAGAACCAGGGGTTCTTGGAGGTTCATGGTACTTATTAACCAATTATAACTCTACTTTTGACCCACTTATAAGCCCCTTAAGTGCCCCAACATGGTCATAAGTACAGTTAGAAGTGCAGTTATAGTTGGTTAATAAGTACCATGAACCTCCAGTCCCCTAAGCCCTAAACCCGAAACCCGAAACCCTAAACCCTAAACCCTAAACCTCAACCCTCAACCCTCAACCCTCAACCCTCAACCCTCAACCCTCAACCCTCAACCCTCAACCCTCAACCCTCAACCCTCAACCCTCAACCCTCAACCCTAAACCCTCTTCCGAGGCTACGCCGCGCTGCAGCGCGTCTTCAACGACAAGCTCCGGGAGTCTTACTGCTGGTTGGTAGGGAATGACGGAACGAGGTACCCTATACCCCCCTGTATATATATATATAAATAAATAAAATGTATATGTATATATATATATACACACTCTTTAAGGGACTATATAGGGCTCTTTATATATACCCTTCAAAGGGATCATATAGAATAGGGCCCTGTATATACCCTTTAAGGGACTATATAGGGTACCTCATATTCCCCCCCCCCCCCCCCCCCCAATTCCACACGAACCATCAGCAAGGAGTGGCACTGGCAGCGGGCCACGGGGACCATGTTCCAGGTCTGGCAACCACCAGGCTGGGATGAGTTGTTTTTTGGTTGCTTGTTTGTCCTTAGGGTTTAGGGTTTAGGGTTCAGGGTTTAGGGTTTTTAAGTTAAGCCTCTTACAAAGAACCCTGAGAGAACAGAGAGAAGTCTCATCTTGACTCCCTTCATCAAGCAGACCTCGAGAACTGAAAACAAGTAAAGCAGAATACCCGTCCCCCCCGATGTTCGGAAACCCCCAAATGGTCGTGGCCTGAGGAGTCATCTTCGGCTGCCTGAAGAAGGAGCACTACGCGCAAGGAGACGCGACAGAAGGAGTCGGGGTCAGGGCCCCAAAACCCCAACCCCCAGCCGACCCCCTAAGCCCCAAACCCTCAACCCTAAATCCTAGCCCTAAACCCTAAACACTAAGCCCTAAGCCCTAAACTCTAAGCCCTAAACCCGAAACCCTAAGCCCAAAACCCAAACTTTTAGGGGCTTCGCCCTGATGCGCCAGCGCAGATTCTTGGTTTAACGAAGGTTCCACGGTTGCCTCACACTCAAAGACATGTTTGTTCAGTTCGGGTGTTCTTTACCAAGCCATCCCCTAAACCCTGAACCCTATGAACCCTGTGAACCCTATGAACCCTATGGACCCTATGATCCGTATGAACCCTATGAACCCTATGAACGCTATGAACCCTATGAACCCGATGAACCCCATATGGTCAGTTCTCTAAATTATGGTCCCTACCCTAAATAAGAGAGGCCGCCTTAAAATAGGGACCCCGCAAGGGACCATATTTTTGAGAAGTGACCATATAAACCCCACATAAACTCTTTGAATCCTAAACCTGCTGGCCCGGCTTTCGATGAGAGCAATCCTAAAGCAGCAAGACTTCGCCGAACACCATCCGGTCTTGTTTCATGTCGAGCCCCTAGCCTCTGCTGTTCGGAACAGCTGACAATAGTCGCTTGCGACAACGAAGCGCATCAACAAAACAAGAACTTACCACACAAGTCAAAAATACTTGCCGACTGGAAAAATTGCCCAAAGTAGCTTCGCTGCGGAGTTATGGTACTTGTTCGTGATGCTCTTTCCAAAGTAAAGCCTTACGAACACAAATTGACACAAAGGATACTTAAGTGAATTGAAGACATGAACACCAAAGAAACTTTTGAAACAAATCAAGAAACTGACGTTACAGCGGTTCAACAACAAGTTGTACGACGCCAACATAACCGTGTCTTTGATTTACCAAAACCTCCTTGGTCCAATTTGGGCCTTCAAACACGCGTAGGGATTTTCGCTAGTCGACGACCTTTTAAGTTGCCGACTTTATACTGATTTTTGACCATTTGGGCTGCAAGCTGGGGCCAAAACATTTTGGGATTGTCGCTACCATGGCGGCCTTGGAAACTCCCCAAATCCGATCTAAGGCCAAAACATAGGGATTTTCGCGAAGTTTGTGGCCTTGGAAAACTCCCAAATGGCCAATTTCATCAAACCCTCAATCTAGACCCAAAACAGAGGACTTCGCTAGTTTGGCTGTCTTGAGTGTTTCAGTGCCTTTGACCATTTGAGCCTTCGCAAACCCCTCAATCTTAGGTTTTCCCGAGCCCGAACCTTAACGCCGCAGCAGGACGGGGATCCGTATTTCAGGAATTGAGCGTACGTAGGAAAGTGATCTGAGCTTGTGCTGACATGGTTGATCCGAGTTAGTCGTGCAGCGAGTTCATTTTGGATCGAGCTTCGAGTTTTTGCATTCGCCTTTGCTTCCCTCGCTATCAGTATGGCTTACATCTACGAGGTCAGCGGAGTGTAGTCCAGTCCTATGGCGTTCGCGTTGCGTTTCCTTTCGGCCAGGTTATTCGCGCTGGCTCCATTCGAGTCCAAGGAGCTGCCGATCTTCTGGAGGAGTACCAGGATCGAGGCGATGTTTCCTTCTAGTTTTCGGTAGCGTTTGGAAAGTGCATCTTGTCGGCAGGCTCCGTCAACTACGGCGACGGCTACCATCTTGCTTCCAAGGCGCTCCCGGACCTCTACCGGCACCTGGCCCCGTACCTAGAGGACTGCTTGGTCGTGTTTGGTTTAGGGCGAACGATCTCGAGTTCTTCTGCTGACAGGACGCACCGGTCATCACTTCGGACTCTTGCCTCTGTTACGCAGAGCACGGGTGGAAGGACTTCCGGGTCAGACCGCCTCATGTAGGGGTCTTCGACGAAGTCGCTCGTCAGGACCACAAGGGCAGCGTCGCAAAGACGATGCTGACCCCGCTCAGGTGGTGCCGTTCTGGGGCAAGGGCCTGGCCGGGATCGTGGAGGGCTTGAAGCAGGAGGGGTTGCGGCCAGCCGCGGGACGGTCGACATTGGTGGTCGTTTGCGCAGGCTGGAGTGGTGTTCCTTTTTTTGTTCGTGGGTTTGTTTAGTGACCGACGCCGTCAGGCAAGACGAGGGTGAGGGAAGGTTTCACGCAAAATAGTTTCTCCAGAGCATCTTCCTTCTTACTTGGACTGGAGAAAGGGGTTTCAAATGTGAGAATCTTTGAGGGAGTTGGGCTACAGTTATTCAAATCGGGCTTGGAAGCTTGGAGGCAGCCTCCAAAGTTTTTTAGTCACGGGACACGGCAAAGCGGCAAGCAAACCCTCCCAAAACTTCTAAACCATGTCGAAATATTTGAGCTTAGGAGTGGAGGGGGGGGGGGGGAATCAGCAAGCAAACCCAAAAAAGTTCAGTTTTGAGGTGAGGAATGGTTCCTGGGGCTTTTGGGGGGGGAACATGCCGCTGCGCTGGCGAGCCCTAAACCCTAAACCCTAAAGCCGAAAGCCTAAAGCCTAAACCCTAAACCCTAAACCCTAAACCCCAAACCCTAAACCCTGAACCCGAAACCCGAAAGCCTAATGCCTAAAGCCTAAAGCCTAAAGCCTAAGCCGTCCTAAACCTAAACCTTAAACCCTAAACCCCAAACTTTAAACCCTAAACTCAAACCCTAAACCCTAAACCCTAAACCCTAAACCCGAAACCCTAAACCCTAAACCCTAAACCCTAAACCCTAAACCCTAAACCCTAAACCCTAAACCCTAAACCCTAAACCCTAAACCCTAAACCCTAAACCCTAAACCCTAAATCCTAAACCCGAAACCCGAAACCCGAAACCCGAAACCCTAAACCCCAAACCCTAAACCCTAAACCCTAAACCCTGGGAGCTAACCCGGTTTCTAGCCTTCCGGCAGGGCTTGGAAGAGGCCTGTAGTGCAGCTGTAGAACTTCAATCACTTTCGACTTTAGACTTTAAACCCTAAACCCGAACTCTCATAGTCATGGTCCCTTTCGCAGGACAGGGCCCGTCGCATTCTTGGGATATAGGGGTTTAGGAGTCAAGGTTAAGGACATTAGGCTGTAGATTTTCGGACTTCCGGTGTAGGGCTTGAGATTCAGGAGAGGGGCCTCCGGGGTTTTAGGCGTTTTAGTGGTTCAGGGGTATTGGGCTTCAAGGGCTTTTTCGCCACCAAGGAAGGAAGGTGCCAGCGTGGGACGACTGGGGCCTTGGAGACCGGCAGGCACCGCTGCGCAGCGTGTGAGGGGGCTTCATGACTTATTTAGGAGTTTAGGAGTTTAGGAGTTTAGGGTTAGGGTATAGGGTATAGGGTTTAGGGTTTAGGGTTTCGGGTTTGGGGTTTGGGGTTTAGGGTTTAAGGTTTAGGGTTTAGGGTTTAGGGTGTAGGAAGGGAGAAGGACTGAGATTCCAGCTTCCACCACTACGTCACTACGTGCCCATCCTTAGGCCTTCGGCACCGTATTCCGAGAGCCACTAGAGCCCTTCGAGCCCTTTGGCATCAAGTAGCCGAATTTCAAACGTCTTCACAGGGTTATGTGGGCTTGCACCTCCAAGGGCAAAGCCGGAACTTTTCGACCCCCTAAGCCACCATCTTTACGGTTTTACGGTTTAAACCCTAAACCCTAAACCCCAAACCCTAAACCTTAAACCCTAAACCCTAAACCCTAAAGGGTTTCAGGTTTAGGGTTTCGGGTTTCGGGTTTCGGGCTTAGGGCACGCGCCCACATTCCCACAAGTTCGGCTCTCTCGGATTAGGAGGACTATGTAGGGGGGTGCAAGAGTTTAAGAGTTGAGGTTTCTTGTCTTCTTTTTTGTTGGGGGGGGGGGGGGGGAGTTCGGGATTTTTTTGGGGGTTCCCGCAGACAGCGGGCAGGTGCCCTGCCGCCTGGTGATCCGCGCCCTGGCCGGGCGCTGGATCCTCTGGAAGGCCATGCAGCAGCGTCAGGAGCCCGAAAAGATGTGGGGGTTTACGACAATAGGGGACCCCTAATATAGATCCCGAAACAGTAGGATTCCCTTAACTGTCTTTTTTCTTCAAAATAGGGGGTACCCCTTTTATCTCCCAAATAGAATAGCATCCCTTTAAAAAAGGGACCCCCACAAAGGGTAACGTGGGGTTATATGGGCTGTTCTCGACATCATGGTCCCTTCAACAGTGCAAGCCCTTATGCTCAGGGATTTGGAGATCCGGCCAGTTCTGAAGCCTGCAAGAAACCCGACCCCCACCCTAAGCCCTTGTCCAAGAAGGCTGTTTATCATCCCTAACTCCTTAAATCCCGTAGTTTAGGGTCTAGGGTTTGGAGTTTAGGGTAACGTTACGCCCTAAATGCTGCCAAAGGCCCCACCAGAAAGCCCTGGGGCGGGAGGAAAGCTGGATCCTGGCGGACGGAGACGACAGCCACCTCTTCAATGCGTCCCCTGCTGAGGATTAGGGTCTTTACCAGTACCATAAACCCCGAAACTCCAAAACCCTAAACCCTACTTCCTGAACACTAGAAGGCCGAGGGCTTAGGGTTGAAGCCTTCTTGGGGAGGGACGAACAATGAAGCCTTGGGTCCACCATGCAAACAGCCACGCCATGCGTTGCATGCTAGGACCCGGAGTAGGCCCTGATTTCCTTTTTTTTAGGGTTGGGGTTCCCTTGTAATCCCCTTAAAGCCAAAAAGGGTACCCTTTTTATTCCTAGGCTACTCCTAGGTCTAGTGTATGAAGCAACTCAAAACGGCATGAAGCCACCCAAGTCAACTTAACCATACATTGCACAACAAGCAGCAGTGAGCTAGGGTCGTTTAGGGTTTGCCGTAAGCCCTAAGCCCTAAGCTAAAGCCCCCCCCAAACCCTAAACCCCAAACCCTAAACCCTAAACGCGAAACCCGAAACCCGAAACCCGAAACCCTAAGTTTTCGCACCTGGGGCTCGCGATCTAGCACCAAGGGTTGATGGGTTGTTAAGGACACCGCCTATCGGGGCTCTGGGGTGTAGGATTTCCGCGTCATGGTTTCGAAGAGCCCTAAACCCTAAAACCTAAACCAAACCCTAAACCCCAGGCCTTTCGAGCTTCCCAAAACCCGAAACCCTAAGCCCGAAGCCCTAAAGACCCTGAACCCTACCCCACCCTAAACTTGAAATCCTAGGTTCCGGGGCAACCTAGCTCTTCGTAGGGAATGAGGGAATTAGTCACCTTATCTCCCTATCAGAAGCCTTTTAAGGGATCAAATAGGGGTTTAGGGTTTCGGGTTTAGTGGAACCAGTACGTCTAGGTTCATGAGGGCCATGGACTTCTACAACGTCGACGCCCTGGAGCCCGAGGAAAGCTTCCCCAATTTGCTGCTCGGGTGTAGGAATGGTGTGCTGTTTGGCCCTGTAAGACCCTGTGAGACCCTAAGAGCCTAATCCCATCCCCCTTGTATTAAACGTACCCCCAATAATAAAAACACTTTCCGGAAAATCCTGCCCAAACCGACCCCGCCTCTTCAACCCTGTTCCGAATTAGGGGGGGGGGGGTTTCAGGGTTCCCAAAACCCTCAAGCCAACCAACATCCTGAAGCTCTCTTCCCTGCCTTCCCTCCCAGCCCATTTCTGAAACCCTCGAAACCCTGAACCCTAGGCCCTATAAACACTTTGGACCCCAAACATGACATTTGGATAAAGACACCCCCCTATGGTTCAAAAAACACATCTCGAGTTTCTATGGGGAGAAGGGGGGGTGGGCCCCCCGTTTATGATTAGGGGGATGGGATTACGACCCTACGGCCCTAAGACCATAAGACCCGAAGACCCGAAGACCCGAAGACCCTAAGCCCCTGAGGCTTAGGGTTTAAGCTGAAATCCCCAGAAAACGGGTTCGGGGCTTCAGGTTTTCGCGAGCGGCGACTGGATCCGAGTTGTGGGTTTTGGGCTCAGGGTGCAGTGGGCTTTTCGGAGTGGTGGGATACCCTGAGCCCTAAACCCCCTAAACCTTGAACCCGAAACCCAAAACCCGAAGCCTAAACCCTAAACCCTAAACCCATGGCTGCCTCTGTTACTTTAGCAGGATTTAGTTCGGCTTCGGGCGGTGTTCTTGCCGTTCCTAATCCCCAAATTCGCCTAGCCCCTTCGGGTACGCGTTTGGGGTTTGGGATTAAGGGTTTAGGGGTTCCGAGGTGGCACTGCGCGAAGGAAGCTGATTCCCTATATGTCAAGAAATGTATGCGTGCGCAAACGATTTATTACTACGCAACAAGTTCAGGCCAAAGGAAGCAAATATGAGTGTATTCGTATTAAACGATTCGCTGCAACAAATATAAATGAGTATTCTGAAGGAAATGACAAAGAGTTTTCATTATCCATTTTTCAAAAAACTGTTTCAGTCATTCTCATTATGCAAACCTAATGGTGCTTTTACTATCACAGAATTTCGAGGACAAAATTTTGTTCAAGAAGTGAACAAAATAGAACAGAACTTTTTTGGGGGTTACTGTAGTATACTTATAAAGGGACCATAAGGGGAGTACCCTAAGCCCTAAGCCCTAAACCCTGAACCCTGAACCCTAAACCCTAAACCCTAAACCCTAAACCCTAAACCCTAAACCCTAAACCCTTACGAAGTTTAGTAGCCCGCACCTCGTCGCACTTCACGGTCTCCGAGGCGACTCCTCTACGCCCACGCGCGCACCTCCATGGGCTTCTTCCCGCCTTTCTCGCTTCGGAGAGCCTTGGCGCCCAAAACCCAAAACCCAAAACCCAAAACCCTAAACCCTAAACCCTAAACCCAAAACCCAAAACCCAAAACCCAAAACCCTAAACCCTAAACCCTAACATCCCCAACTCCTGAGCCAAACCTCAGGCGTCAGAAAAAGGTTTATATTGGAGGGTTTAGGATTCAGGGTTTCTTGTGTAGGGCCGGTCTCTCAAACTCTAAACCCAATAGACGCCTAGAACCCCTAAGACCCTAGAACCTTGAAGCCTTATGCCCTCAAAGCCCTCAGCCCTAAGCCCTAAGCCCTAAGCCCTAAGCCCTAAGCCCTAAGCCCTAAGCCCTAAACCCCTAAGCCCTAAGCCCTAAACCCTAAACCCTAGACCCTAAACCCTAACCGCCCCCCCCCCCCCCCCCCGCCCCAGGCGTCCACGTGCACCTGCCTTGGGCCGAGCGCACGTCGAGGCCGAAGAGGGCGGCCCTGGTCTCACCGAAGGCCGGCAGTTGAAGGTTAAGGATGTAGGGTTTAGGGTTTAGGGTTGAGGGTTGAGGGTTGAGGGTTTAGGACTAGGGTTTCGGGTTTAGGGTTTAGGGTTTGGGGCTTACTACGGTGCTTTAGCATAAATAGGCTTTAATAACCCCAAACCCCAAACCCCAAACCCCAAGCCCCAGACCCCAGGCCCCAAACCCCAAACCCCAAACCCCAAACCCCGAACCCTAAACCCCAAACCCTAAACCCTAAACCCCACGCCCCAAACCCCAAACCCCAAACCCCCAACCCCTAACCCCAAACCCGAAGCCTCACAGTCTCTAGAGGAGTTGGCATCCTCTAATCCCAGCTAGACCGGGTCTAGGGTTTAGGGTTTAGGAGGTTTAGGAGGTTTAGGAGGTTTCGGAGGTTTGGGAGGTTTAGGAGGTTTAGGCGGTTGAGGAGGTTTGGGAGGTTTAGGAGGTTTAGGAGGCTTAGGAGTCTTAGGAGGTTTAGGAGGTTTGGGAGGTTTGGGAGGTTTAGGAGGTTTAGGAGGTTTGGGAGGTTTAGGAGTTCAGGAGGTTTGGGATGAGGAGTTTCAGGAGGCTTAGGAGGTGTAGGAGGTTTGGGAGGTTTAGGAGGTTTGGGAGGTTTGGGAGGTTCAGGAGGTTTATAGGAGGTTTAGGAGGTTCAGGAGGTTTAGGAGGTTTAGGAGGTTTAGGAGGCTTAGGAGTAGGAAGTTCAGCAGGTTCAGGAGGTTCAGGAGGTTTAGGGTTTGGTTTAGGGTTCAGGGTTTAGGGTGTAGGGTTTAGGGTTTAGGGGGTGGAGGGGTGGGGCTGCCCTAAACCCTGAACCCTAGAAGGGGTGTCCATCTTCGGCCTGAGATACTAAGAAGCATAACGTAAACTTATGACATCCCATACCAGGATGGGCTACTAGGCCTTATAATCCCCATAATCAACCCTGTAAAGGGCCTGGTACACATCCAAAAAAACCCTGAGCCAAGAAGCCGGCGAGGGATTGGAATGCTGGCTTTCCCCAGACCCCGTCGTCATCTGAATGCAAAGAGACACAAAGCTCACAAATGTGTAGCAAAAGCACACAAGCAACATTAACAAAGAGTTCGGACATACACGAATGTGTCCAGTGAGAGAGAGAGAGAGAGATACAAAAAAAGGGAGGGAGAGAGAGAGGCCGGGGGGGGGGGCATTAGCTAGCTTGCTTGGACATTGGACGAAAGATTTGTGTAATCTTCGGCTCTGGGGTGTCAGGGTGGTGATGGAAGCCCGGCTGCGCAGTTTCGGATTGAGGTTAGGGGTTTAGGGGTTTATGAAGCGGTCGTCGGACGATCCAGGCCGGTTTAGGGTTTAGGGTTAGGGTTTAGGATTTAGGGTTTGGGGCTTAGGGTTTAGGGGTTCAGGGGTTTAGGGGTTTAGGGGTTGAGGGGTTTAGGGGTTTAGGGGTTTAGGGGTTTAGGGGTTTAGGGGTTTAGGGGTTTAGCGGTTTAGGGGTTTAGGGGTTTGGGGGTTTTGGGCTTTGGGGTTTGGGGTTTGGGGTTTGGGGCTACGGGTTCTAGGGTTCAGAGTCCGCCAGTTCGTCACCGATGCCAGCAACGTCCTGGAAGCCCGGGGCGAGTTCCACATCGCTTCCTGTCTCATAGTCCAACAGCGAAAACCCCAAACCCCAAACCCTAAACCCTAAACCCCAAACCCTAAACCCTAAACCCAAAACCCCAAACCCTAAACCCTGAACCACTAAGCTTCAGGTTTTTGGGGTTTAGGGTTTAGGGCTTCAGGGTTTTCATGGACCAAGGCTTCGGCACTACGAATCAGGCGACCCCATTTCCCGAAACCCCTCGAAAATCCCCAGGGCCAGGCTCTAAAGCCACAAGCCCCCTACGTAACTCCCAAACTCCCAAACTCCCAAACCCAAAACTCCAAGTCCCTACACCCTAAACCCTACACCCTAACCCTAAACTCTAAACCCTAAACCCTAAGCCCTAAACCCGAAACGCTAAACTCTAAACCCTTAACCCTCGCGATGCCCTATTGAGGTTGCCAGGGTTGCCAGGGCCCAATGTTCAGTCCAAAGCAGCCCCTGAGACAAATCCGGGTTTGGGGTTTAGGGTTAGGAGATAGGTTTCGGGTTTAAAGTTTAGGGTTTAGGGTTAGGAGTTTAGGGTTTGGGGTTTAGGGTTAGGGGGTTTGCGTTAGGGGTTTAGGGTTAGGGTGAGGGTTAGGGTTTAGGGTTAGGGCGGTTAGGGTACGCGGTTTATGGGTTTAGGGTTAGGGGTGTAGGGTTTAGGGGGTTCGGGTTTCGTGCCTCGCAGTTTAGGGACTTAGGGTGTAGGGGTTTAGAGGCTTGAGGTTTAGGAGTTGGAGGTTGAGGGCTTGGGGTTTAGGATTTAGTTTCGGGCTTTGTGTTTACGGGTTTTTATAGGGCTTGGGGGGCAGACGTAGGGTTTAGGGTTTTCCAGGAACCCTAAACCCAAAACCCAAAACCCTAAACCCTAAAGCCTAAAGCCTAAACCCTAAAATTAAGACTCGTACCTCCCGAACATCCTCCCAAGAGGGCCCCATATACTACCTTAAGGATCTTTAGACCGGGTCCCCGAAACCAATCATACAACCTTAAGGGTCCAAGGTGCCCCAAACCCCTAAACACCTAAACCCTAAACCCTAAACCCTAAACCCTAAACCCTAAACCCTAAACCCTAAACCCCTAGAGGTTTAGGGTTCGGGCCGTGTCCTACTGCACAAACTGGGCGTGGCGCAGGGCCCAAGAACTTTTGTCTGGTCAGCATGATCGTCTTGTCAGCAAGAGATCCACCACTGCATACATATGTATATCTATCTATCTATCTATCTATCTATCTATCTATCTATCTAATATATATATATATATACATGTATATGCTACCCCCCCCCCCAAGACCAAGAACCCACCGTAAGCGCAGTGTAAGGGGGAGGGCCGTTTCCCGAAGGCTGCGGCATAAAAAAAACAGAGTGAGAAAGTTGATTTGGACCCTCCGCGCTGCGGTCGCATGCAGAAATTCACCAAGCTTGCATCTTAGGGTTTAGGGTTTAGGGTTTAGGGTTTTGAACACCAAGACAAGCCGTCTGTACGCAAAGTTGTCCCAGTAGCGGACAAACAGGCCCTTGGCTGAAACCTTCAAGAGTTCCACGAAACATTAAGAGCTTCCCTATGTTTATTCCTTTAAGGTTTAGACACAGACCCTATTCCCAAGTACTTGCAAACGATAATATGTTTTTGTAAACGAGAAGATGTTTAGGAATAGTAATGCTTCGGGTGCCTGCGGGATGTACCCTTAGTGTTTAGCCTTATTTGTAAACCCTATGTGTTGAAGGTTTAGGCTTAAACCTATTCCAAAGCCTTACATTTCCCTCGCCACTACATTTCACTTAACCCTATTTGTGACGCTTTAGGCCTAGGCTGACACCCTGTTCCAAAACCTTTGGTCACTAAAGAAATTCCGCTTTGCTTAGGAATAGTCATGCTTGAAGGTTTACGCTGAAGCTCAGTCAAAACCTTCTGTTTTGCATCATCACTGAAGGCATTGCGCTAAAGCCCAGACCCTATTCCTTAAAGATGTTGTTAAATCCCAGACCCTATTCCTGTACTTTCAACGTTTATTGTTTTGGAATACTCATGCTTCCTATTCCTGTAAAACCTATAATTTATTGAAGATTTAGGCTGACACCTCGACCATAACCTGACGTTTTCCCTCGCCACTGAAGGCATTTCGCTAAGGCCCAGACCATTTTCCCTAACAACATTTTATGCCCAGACCCAGTTCCAAAACTTTCAACGAATATTGCTTAGGGATAATCATGCTTCCCATTCCTGGAAACCTTACACTGTATTGAAGATTTAGGCTGAAACCTTGTCCATAACCTGACGTTGTCCCTCGCAGCTGAAGGAGTTTCCCTAAAGCCCAGACCCATTTTTGAGGAATAGTCGTGCAGCGAATTTCTTGAAGGTTCAGGCCCAGTCCGAAACCTTATGGTTTTCCCTCGTCACTGAAGGCATTTCGCTAAAGCCAGACCCTATTCCCTAAAGAGATTCTATTAAAGCCCTTCCCCATACACTCAACAGAAACTGAGGCTCAGGAAGCCGCATTCATTCTTGAGTTCCTCCCCCCCCCCCCCCCCCCCAACCCCCCCCCCCCCCAACCCCCCCCCCCAACCCCCCCCCCCAAACCCCCCCCCCAACCCCCCCCCCACCCCCCCCCCCAACCCCCCCCCCAACCCCCCCCCCCCC